TCTTTGCTCCAGGCTGAACAGCCCCAGTTTTCTCAGTCCATCCTCTCAGGAGAGGTGTTCCATCCATTGGATCATTTGTGTGGTCCCCCTCTGGATGCACTCCAACAGGTCTATGTTTCTCCTGTAGTGAGGGCTACACATCTCTACAGTACTCCAGAGGTGGAGTCCTCACTATAGGAGAGACATAGACCTATGATTAACTCCTTACATCACCTGCAGTATGTGGTCTGTCATTAATAAATTTGTACTTAGAAGCTGTCAGTATTACTCTCAAAATTAATTTCTGCTAGTTTTCTCTATCTTGTTGAAGATTGACCTGTAAATGCTCCGTGACAGCTATCATCACAAAGTAACAAAATCAGTCTTGGATCTCAATAAGTGGATTTTTCTGCTCACACAAAATAGAAAATAAGTTGATTACTTTAAAGTTGATAGAAAGAAATTTGGTCAGCAGTTGGAGAATGAGAATGAAAGTTAGATCTCTTGAGTGTTGGTCCTTCTCTATTGACATTACTATGCTTAAAATGATCTGCTTCCTCTCCTCCGGCTCTATGTTAAATGCTCCCTATGCACAGCATTTGAAGAAAGTCCAGTGTCTAAAACTGATTAGCCAGCTGCACAAAAACATTGATCATAGGTTTTATCCTGTGGCAGTCAGAACGTAATAGAAGATAAGGATAAAATCAGGGTTACACAGCCAGAAATGCAGAGTGCCAGTACCTGTGCTTAAGGAGCCCAGATCTCTGGGCCAGATTCCTAACCTGGGTTAGATTTTCCTGCACCTCTCTGCGAGCTTTCTCTTAGAACATGAGAGGCTCAGGATTTTTATTCCAGGGCTGAATCAGGGAGAAAACAGAAGCCCCCTCACCTGGCTGCATGCTCTGGATGCTGGTGTGTGAAGGGAACACCATGAGCTCGTGTGTTAGGTAAATGGCTACCTGCTGGACTGACTGAAGAGTAAGGAGGATTCATGCAGGACTTTCTCAGGGATTCAGACTTTCAACCACTTGCCCTTTCAGGATGTGTAATTGTAGGCATATCCAAAAGCTCAAGCTGGAATTTCAAGTTTGTAGAGAATCATAGAATTGTTTGAGTTGGAAGGGACCACTTAGTCCAACTTCTCTGCAATGAACAGGGATACCACAGCTAGATTAGGTTGCTCAGAGCTATTGCAACAGTCTCTGCTTAAGAGCCTGTCCCCTTCTTTCTTACAGCCCCCCTTTAGATACTGACGAGCAGCTTCACATCTCCTCAGGGTCTTCTCATCTCCGGGCTGAACAGCCTCAGCTCTCTCAACCTGTCTTCGTAGGAGAGGTGTTCCATCCCTTGGTTCAATTTGTGGCCCCCCTCTGAGCATCCTCTACCAAGGCTATGTCTCTACTATACTGAGAACTCTACATCCGGCTGCAGTACTCCAGGTGAGGCCTCACCAGTGCAGAGTAGAAGGGCAGGATCACCTCCCTTAACCTAATGTCTGTGCTTCTTTTGATGCGGACCAGGATACGGTTGGTTTTCTGGGCTGCGAGGGCAACTTGCTGGCTCATGATCAGCTTGCCATCCACCATCATCCCCTGTTTTTTTTCTGCAGGGCTGTGCTCTATCCGTACATCTCCCAACCTGTGCTGATGGTACTTGTGCTGCCACCACCCAGGAGCAAGACCTTACAGTTGGATTTGTGGCAAAATAAAAGGCAGAAAGGCAGTTGAAAGGCTTAAATTTGGAACCTGAATACCCACTGCAGAATTTAGCCCTAAATATCTCTTTTCACAAAATCACTCTTTGTTCGGTTACAAAGCTTCCTGCTTTCTTGCTCCTATCGATCTGAGTGATAATGTGCCACGTATGATATATGAATGATTATCAAATTTTCTTCAGGTAAATAGTGAACATTTGAGATTTAGCATTTCTGCTTTATTACACTGGATTTAAAAAAAAAAAAAAAAAAAAAAAAAAAAAAAAGAAGCAAGATCTATAACAAAAAAAAAAAACATCCAAAACTAATAACTTGCTGTTTAGAAAGCCAGTTGCCAGTTTGCCTCATTTCAGGCCTCCATTGTTCTATGTGAGCAAATAACCAGAAATTAATAAACAGCTAACTCATTCCTTGCAGAGACTAAATATGGATCTCTAAACAGGGAAACCTAAAACAAAATGTTGTCATGGTGATATGCAGGATACTAAGCAAGAAGCACAAAGCTACTCTTCCTAGGAGACCTGAGAGACAAACTTGCATTTCTGTCTGTCATGGTTAATTTATCATTTCACCAAAACAGTTGTCAACATGCAAAGTATGTTGAAGGCTAATAACAGGTATCTTTTGTTTTTTATGGGCACAATAGATTTTGAATCTAAATCACAATTTTAGATTTAGTCTTACTTAATCTTTTTGAGGAGCTTTTGCTATTTTTACATTTTACTATTTAAAAGGGCAATTAAATATTGGGATTACTTTTTCTTCAGTATGTCATCATGAGGCCACATACTGTAATGAGTTTCACATACTCTGAAAAGTACATTTCATAATGTAATGTGATGTAATGTAATGTCATGTGTTTTACATTTCTCTGAAAAGGGAATGAAGGAAGGTAGGACCCTTGCAAAATTTATGCACACTTTAGATTTAGATAGATTTAAAAGCTGGTGGTCACATAACAAAAATGGGTTATGTGCCATGTCAGTCTTGGTGTTATTGCTTGTATGGAAGGGAAAATAGGAACTAAACATCAACAAATGACTTAATACGTGTCAATTAGTTAATTATTGGTTTTAAAGTAATTAAAGCCTTAAAATTCTGTCTTCAGCACTTCATGTAATCACTTTGCTATTAAATAAGGACAACACATTTAATCTGAGTGGGTTTTTGTTTTATTTATTTTTTTTAACTTTTGCTCTGAGATGGGTGTATGTGGCTACCAATTTGTATATTTTTAAGTTCCAATTACTTAAGTTAATTTTCCATTTCAGTCCATCCAAGAAAATATGCCAAATGCCTATCTAAGTGGAACATCTAGTAATTACATCCACATCTCTTGAGAATCATTGAGAAAAGTTCATAAAAATAGCCAGGAATTATTTCTTTTCAGTTCAGTGGGGTACAAAAAAGCCCACGTGCTTAAACAAACGAATCACACCATCTTGGTTTATGGCTCCCTGTTAAACTTTGACAGATTTTTCATGTTGCAGGGTTAGAAGTAGGGAAGACATCATTGCTGCGATACAATATAAAATTGAGATGCCATAAGTATTTCAGTACCATGTAAGAACCTAGTTTGCTTACCTTTACAGTCTAAAAAAACCACAGTAATGAAAGCAAAGTATGGACACTCCTGATTATTCCTTGCTGTCTTAAACCAGTAGGATGATGCGTGACGCATCAAGCCTAGGCATGTGGAGCAACTTCTGGGAAGTAAAGTGAAGAAAGAGAATCTAGGAACCTTGTGAGAGGCTCTCCACCTCTCTGTAATTATCTCCATACAAGATCTCTGTGGACACTAGGCTGACATCATGGAATGTGAGCGGTGAGTAGAATTAGGAAGATCCTTAGGTATTTCCATCTTCACTTCAAAAACACTAGTGCTATGCAAATGTTATAAGGAAAGGATCCACAGTCAGACTATGTAGGATGACAGGCTAGATGGCAGATAGCAAAGTGGATTGAAAACTGACTAGGCATAGTGATCAGTGGTACGAAGTCTAGTGAGAGGCCAGTAACTAGCAGCATACCCAGGGGTCAATACTGGGTCCAGTCCTGTTTAACATCTTCACTGAAGATAAAAGTGAAGGGGACAGAGTGTTTCCACAGCAAGCTTGCAGATGACAAAAAACTGAAAGGAGTGACTGATATGTCAGAAGGTTGTGCTTCCATCCAGAGGGAGCAGGAGAAGCTGGAGAAATGTGCTGACAGCAAACTGGAGGAACAAGCCTGGGGACTGGTACAAGCTGGGGACCACTCTGTGTGAAAACATCTAAGGAAAAAAGAGCCTGGAGGTACTGGTGGGTACCAGGCTGAACATGAGGTGGCAATGCGCCCTTGCAGCAAAGACAGCTAATTGTATTCTTGACTGTATTACACAAAGTACTGCCAATGTGTGTGGCAGAGTGATCTTTCCCCTCTACTCAGTGAAACTGTTCCAGTTCTAGGATCAAAAGTACAAGAGATATATTGGAGCATTCACTGCAAAGGGCCAAAGAAATGATGAAGGGTCTGGAGCATCTCTCCTGTGAGGAAAGGCTGGGACTGTTCAGCCTGGAGGACATGAGGCTTAGCAGAACCAGCAATATGTATAAATACCTGAAAGGGAGGGTGCAAAGATGACAGAGCCAGACTCTTCTCAGTGGCGTCCAGAGAAAGGACAAGAGGAAATTGCCTCAAAATGGAACACAGGACACTGTCTGAACTTTAGAAAGTTCACTACCTTGTAGGTGACAGAACACCGGCACAGGCTGCCCAAGGAGGTTGTGCTTCCTGGAGATCTTCAGAAGTTGCTTAGGAACTCTGCTTGGGTAGTGGTTGGGCTAGGTGGCCCGAGGCCCATTCCAACCTCAACCACGCTGGGATTCTATAAGGTGACTACACTGCTATGTATATTATTCTATTATGTGTCTGCATGGATAGAAATTGAATTTATTTGTGGCTTTTTTTTTTTTTTTTTTAATATTTGATTTTATTTCTTAGAGAAAATGATTCTGGTTTTATTAACTTTAACTTCCTAGTATTTTTTTTCTCTACTGAGTCTTCATTATTTTAAAGTTCATGAATTAGTAACTGCATCCGTGATAGAAATATAATTAAAAGGTGTTATTGTGTTTATGCTAGTGACAGAATTAAGAGCAACCTTTCTGTTTTATTTTGAAAGTTATATGAATACCTGGGGAAAACAATCATTACCTATTAATATCTCAGGTAAACAAAACTAACATTTTCATCAAAAGGAAGCTTTACAAACATAGTCAGGTTCTCCTACAATGTATCATTTAATGGGGAGGAGATGTATATTTACCCCTTTTATGTAGGAGAATACTGGCGTGCCGGCGTCCATTTCCATTCTCAACATAGCATGAGTAATTGCCGAGGTCTCCTTCTTCCACAGAGTTGAGAATCAATGAGATAGAAACTTCCTGTTCCCCAAGATGTTCCTTGAGAACCCTAATAAAGAAAAAAATCACGTCTGCTCTTTTGCTTGTGTCACAGTATAGGAATAGATAGTAATGACATAATAGTGCTACTTACAATTCTCAACTCTCAGGCTTCAAATTTAGCTACAGTTTTATGAAATCCTAATTAAATTATATCATGCCCTTTCCTCATTCACTTCTAATGAAGAGGTTTAGTTTTGTAGATGTTAATGAGAGCTTCAGTTAATTGTATTTAAACACGACAATGCACACACTGATAACACATTATTGCACACTCTGATGGAGACCCCGATCAGTAGTTTGTAGAGTCTTGAAATGTTAGAACAGAAAAAGTGAATACAGTTATTTTCAGGTTTACTTGAATGTATTATAAAATATATGTATTATAAAAGTTAGTATTGTAAGTGAATGTATTATAATGAATGTATTAAAATGAATGTATTATAAAAGTTAGTATTGTAAGTCAGTAGAATAAGATAGAATGCCAGATGCCACTCATTCATACAGACAATAATGAAAAGCAAAGACCAGCATAACTTTCTACTTGTCTTCCTGTTGCTTTCTGCGTTATCAAGCCTAACAGTGGTTTTAGAAACCTGGAAAAGCAAATGAGAAACTTCTACACACTGCTCCCTTACTTCATACCTGACAAAATACGTGGAAGACAGTCTTCTGGGTCCTCAGTCCACAAAAGAAAAAAGTGGTAATGAGGTTTTTGTCATTTTTTTTTAGCTTTCAAAATGCCACGTCTGCTTGAAAGGCTTATGATTATCTTTACATAAGAAATGTAGCTAATCTAGTTGTCTTGTGCTATTTAGTGTATTGATCTTGAAATTTATAGAATAAAATTGACATACACTGATGAAATATATCTCAATATACAAAAACAAAAGACCCTGAACATCTATGCGGCCTTCTTGAATTTGGTAAAGGAAGTTTCTCCCTTTAAACAGAAGTAGTCCAGGCCAAAGCTGAAAAAGAAAGTGACGTTTCTCTTTTGATGAAGTAATAAACTCTTATGTATGAATTCAGGTAAAAATAAGCTCATAGTTCTATTACAGACAATCATTGTGAGTATAATACACCTGTGATTATTTAACTTCCTTGATAGTACACAATTAGATTTTCCAACATTTCTGTGTTTATCCATGATATACAAACACAGTCATACACACACACACAATCATAAATGAAAAAAGAATTACTTGGATCTTTAGATCCAAGTAATTACATTATATTGGAATTGGGAAGCTATGTCAAGAATGTTATTCACTATACAAACCCTATTTTTTTTTTCCACAGTATCCAAATGAGATAACACTTTTAGAAACAGGAAAAGTACATGACGTGAATCACCAGATTCTTTCTGTAACAAATATTTCAGCAGCTATAACCAGCCCACATAACAGGAGGTTTAGATCTCACAGGCCAAATAACATCCCAGGAAACTCAGTTCTTTCTTTGAAGAAGAAAAGTCAAAATATTCAGAAAGAGAAGTCAGACTTCAGCATTTATTTAAGAACCTGCATTTTAAAATACTTATTTTGACCTACTTTTCTTGGTATATTTACTTTTCTTTATTTTTTTCTCAGTAAGTAATGAAAATGTTTAGTAACTTAGTGCTACTGGTTTTGGTAGTTTTCCACAGTTTGGAAAAGTCATTATGATACTAAATGAACTTTTGCAGCTCTCTGCATCAGGTCTTGCTATATTTTTCCATTCTCTACAAATGAAATTGAAAAAAATTAAGTGAGCGTTGCAAAAAAGGGGCCAAACCCCAATTAATGGGGCTCCTGAATTAATCTATAGTAACTACTACAATTAACTGTCAAAAAAGATATTGACTAAGAGACTATATATATATATTTTACCTGATATCACTTTCCCAGACTCGACTATCATCCAAATCTTCAATAAACTTCTCCCCTTTCATCCAGTAGATTAAAGGACTGACATCTCCACTATATCCAAAGAAAGCTCGGCAGGTTAGATTAGCAGAACCCCCTGTTACAAAGAAAGAAGGAAAATATGTTATTTCAAAATATGTTATTTCAAAATTTACAAAAAAGATTCATATTTGAATCAGTAGCTATGTTAAACAATGTACATCTGTAAACATCCTCAATTTCCAATCATTGTTGGAAATGTCCAAACATATCTACTTTACTTGCAGATAGTTTTCATTGTATTTCCTGAAAATAAAGACAATAAAATTGAGTTTAAATATTGCATAAGAACAGGATTCAATTTTGCACGCTTTCTCAAATTGGTTAAAAGTTTTGAACTTTTTTTTTTTTTAATATGGAAACAAATTCAGAACGCTGTATAACAGGAAGATGAGCAATTATGAAATATGTCTTATCTGAAACGATTTATGATTTTTAATGAAAGAATCTGACTCCTCTAAGTGGCTTGAATTCTCATTTCCACACCACAAAACATGCAGAATCACATTAGAAATTGAGCTGCTTTTAATCATTTTAATAAAGCTTACCTACAGTTAATACAAACAGTATCGTTTGTCAGCAATGCCTACTAAGGAGACAGGAGTATACCAGTACTTGAAAACATGAGAGAAAAGTCACATTCATAATCAAAAGGTTTGAACCTGCATTTCTGGTTAAGGAGACAATTTCATGTCTTTCAGAGCAAAGTTGCTGAAAATAAGCTAAAGATCTTTAAAGAGAGGGCAAAAACTCTTTTAAATATGTTTTCTGTGCTCCTGGGAGTAGTGGACAGGACTGTTGCAAAACCAAGTCCTTACAACATCACCTCCTGAATGGTCAGTACACCTTCCTAGAAACCCATCTCCTTGGTCACTATACAGGAAGAGCTCAGGAAGTGCCATCTGAAAGATGGATCTCACTGGAGAGATTTTGGTGATTCTGAAACTGTTTGCAGGGAATTAGATGATCATTATGATACCAATTAATGAGAGTCAAGGGCATGAAAAATGGGATGTGATAACCTTCCCGACTGTTCCAAGGACATTTGAGTAGATGCAAACTTGCTTTCTCAGAGCAAATGCACAACACATATAAACTATATAACACACAAATATGTGGAAATGAAAGAACAAAACCATGAAGGATTATGAAATATTGGCTAGGTCATCCAGTCTAGTATATGTTCAAGGCTGTGAAATGCCTAGTAATCCCAGCTCATAGCAGCGTTCTGTGATGAATGGATAACCCTTATGCTGACACTACTGTCAGAAGGAAGAGTGCTATCTAACTCATCACTGCCACTTCTTGGGTTTTTCTTTTTCTGCACCTTTCCTACCAAATCAGGGTACGGCTGAAACTTTTTGGCTCTTAGAAGCTGGTAAGATAACAGCTGTAGGAACTGTGGCATCTGGACAATTTATCCAGCGTTCACAGAGATTAGGCACCATGGGTTCTGAACCATCAAAGCTCTCCAGGCTCTTGCAGCTAATAGGCACCCACTAAGAGCTGCTTTTTACACTGTGGAGGCCTCCAAGACTAACAGGCAAATACTAACATACATAGGCTGTTTTTTTTTTCCTTCCTCTTAAAAAACATATATATATTGAGGGGAGAAATGTCAAAACAAACAAGCAAGCAAACAAACAATAAAAACAGCCAAACAACCTTTGAAAGATAATAGACTTTCTTAAACTCTTAAAGAACTTTTCCCCCTAAATAAAATATTTGAACACCTTTTTAAACACAAAATCCAAAGTTTCTTTTCAATATGAAATATTTCACCTGAGAAATAGATTGGGAAGGATGTACTGCCTCTTAATAGCACTGTATAAATTAGAGTTGCTGAGCAAAGGCCATTAACGTGCCAGGTGTTCAGCTATAAATTACCTATACAGTTTACTCTGACCAATCTTCACAAAAAGCCAGTGGGAAGTTCATTAGTAGGTCATCAAGAAAGATTCAGTGATTATCTAATGACCAGCTGTGACCATTAATGAGGAGGTCTATACTCTTGAGCTCACAGCTCTTAGCAGAGGGTAGTGGAGCTTACTTGCTGGAGCAGAGATGCTTACAGCTGTAGGTGCATTTACATAATGGGTAAAGATTTCCTGAAGAGCAATATTACATGCAGATCTTGATCCCTACTCCAGGGCCATTCCCACATGAGTATGAGTACGCTAAGGCTTCATTTCTCAGTAGAAGCACACCTTTGAAGTGAGCAGTCAGAAGAAAAACAATTTAGAATGCAGTTTGGTGGTTCTATATGGACAATCTGTTTATGAGAAGTCTGCAGATTTTTTAGAAAGTAGTTAAAATTAAAGTAAATAAATACAATAGATACCTTTGTGTTTAAGCTAGTGTACAATACAACCTGTCAGCCATTTTGTAGGTATCATTTACAATTTACACCAAGCAACTATTTTCCTCTATGTTTTCCATGCTGAAAAAATCATAGGAATGTGCTGAGAGCTGTAAATGTTCATCAAGTGTGTATGACTAATGCTTTTTATGCCATTAATTTAAATTTTCCTGTAAATGCTTGATTATTACAGTTTTGTAGTTCACCTCTGAAGGGATTTAAATGCACATTTTAAATGAACTACTAGGGAAATCCATCTCTCTATCATCTTTGTGGTGAGACGCTGTAAAATCTTGAGAATGTTCTATCTTAATCTGGATCCTTGTTAAGTTTGTTATTATTATTTATTTAATTTTAACAGACTGAAATCAAGAATCATGAGAGTGTAGTCATTAAATGAAACTTAAATTCATTCATTTATTAAAACAGTCAAGAAAGGATAAATAGGAAAATGACACTTTGGAGCTTCTCAGTATAACTCCATTGTTTTGACCTTGAAAGAGAACCATAAAGACATGTGAAATGATACCTAAAATGCAAGCTTCAATTAAGTATTTCTCCACCATCCTTATTTCTGAAAATTTGAACTGATTTTTGTAAAAACTGGAATAAATATTGCTAAATATTACTGCTGTTTCTTGTGATAAATTTGCACTGTCAACTCTAGCTTGATGAGTTCAAACTAAATTAACCTAAAGGTCTTCGCTATTTTAACTAGAAATAGTTTTTGTTGCACAATCTCCTTTTGAGTAGACTGGAGTGTAAGGAAGGGTTGCAAAAAAATGTACTTCCTTGCAGCAAACAAATGCATAGAGCAGATTAACATGCAGGTTTGTGCCCATTTTTGCTAATAAGCAACATCTGGGGCACTTTGTAAACTTCTGCTTTGGGAACCTCTGTCCAGGAGAGGGCACTGCCTAACTTCTGAACTTTTTTTCTTTTTTTTTCTTTAATCAAAACAAATTCTTATTGTATAAGCTCTAATTAAAAACACTGGCTTGCTAAGAACCTGATAGTTGTAATTAGCAAAAAGAGAATATTTTGTGGTTAGTGAAATGTCATCTTGTACGGGCAGTTTGAATTGCTCTCTTAATCATGAGAGTTATCATATACTGTGATGACACCAGTTCCACTTTCAGATTCAACAGACTCTTCATGGGAAATGCAAGGATTTTGTGAGAAGCAGTGATAATTATCAGACACCTTCCTCAACCTCTTTCTAAATGAATTCTTAAAGATACGCTAAAGGAGTGAATTCAGAGCCATGAACAACATCTAGAAATGCTGAGGGTCGAGAGAGTGGAAATGTTGTGTGCTTAAATATGGGACTTCCTTTTATTGTACAATGTAAAGCAATTACAGCACTTATGCATAGACAGTACCTACACACTTACAAGCATGCCATGTATTCGTAATATTGACTCTTCCAAATGAAACTGTAAAAGGCCAAGGCAGATGGAATCAAAATCTCTCACACACGAATAAGATTCTTTCCATTCATTTCAGAGGAAAATGTACTGATTAAAAATCTTCAGCCTTCCAGGAGGAGGGATGCAAAATTACTAAATTCCTAGGTCTGATGGAGTAGTGGATACTTCTAACAAAGTCAGTGACCCACTTAGATTGCCAGTGTTATCTGCCAAGCACAGCAGGCAGGTAGGTAGGTAGAACATGTTTGTGTTTTCAAGGAAGTTTCACATCCTGAGGCAGTTTCTCAAAGCCTTGTTGTAAACATGACTAAAAAGGAAATAGAACAAAAATAAGTGTATATACAGCTTTCAACCATGATACTTGACCATGTGAGACCTGTAAATCTTCCCTTAGAGCAGGGTGACCTGAAGAGATTCCTCTAGACTCCTTCCTTGCCTACACAAATCATCACTTGCTGCTATGCTGCCCACTGGTTCACATGACATTCGTATCTTGATAACTTGTACCCTTTTACCAGATTGTAACTGTCTTATCATATCTTTCATATAGTGGTTTAGGCCAAGTTTTAAAATAAAATAAAATATTGTTTTCTGAAATATAACTGCAAGCTGGGAACTGATCAATTCCAATCTTGTCACTGAGTGGTATGTTGTGATGTCTTTGGCAAGTCATCATGTCTTACATCTATACAATTGCAAAGACACAATGTGCAATTTTCCTCTACTTAAAATTCACTGGATGTAGATTTGGAAAAGGCTGGGTATTATCATTGCACTAAATACTATCATACAAGTGTGATACAAACTGGCTGAATGTCATTACAGAGCTATATCTCTTCATTAATAGACTTGTCTCTATTCTGCTATGCCACTAAGCAGAAAGTTGATTGCATGAGACTTACATATTGAATGAGTTCCTCAGGCCACAAATGTGTAAATTCAGAGTACACACAACCAGTCCTCCAAAATAAAATAAAAAATAAAAAAATAAAAAATCTGAAGGTTTGCAGCAAGATCAGAGAGATACTGTAGCTTTTGAACCTTTTCTGAATTTGTAGATATCACTACTTATTAAAAAGTTTTAAAATTACTTCTTGAATTTCTGATTTTTAGCTTTTTAAAAAAAGCTTATGTCTTGCTCATTAGAGGGTTTTTTTTTTTTTTTTTTTTTACATAGAAACTAGTTAACTAGTTCTCATTCAGCAATAGGGCCAGACTAATTTGCCCACGTGAAGTCATTCACTGTCACATGAAAAGCCTTGTACTGCA